GCCTTCTGCAGTTTGTCCAGACCATTAATTAACTTATTGTAGATTGCGAGGAAGGAGATGTTTGCTGGACATGCATTTGTGAGAGAGATGTAATGCTCCAAGTTGAATGTTTTGCCTGGTGGAAGAGAAAAAATAAATACACGTGTTTGTCAAACGTTGAGCGAAAAAATTGTGACTAGGGGATTAACCAGTTTTAAATTGATTTAAGGTTGTTGGTCTTAAATTTATTTTTTTTAAAATGTTGACTGTGAATGAGAGATTTGTATGTATAGTTTTATACTACATAAATGGCACATTTTCTCAGGGGATTTTAAGACAGAGACTGTTAAGTACTGCCAAGAAATAATGAGAACAGAACGTTTCAGTGCTATACTAAAAGACTCTGGTTGTGTTTCCAATGATTATCTGTTTATTCCTGCTTAATTATCATGAATATGAGCTGATTTGGCCTGTCACGTGGTCTCAAAGGGTACAACAGTATGTTTTGTTGATATTTCAGATGCATACCTCGTACGTTGAACTCTCGAGCTATGAACTTTTGTGGATATTTTTTCAAATGTTGAACATTTAGACGGGGTTCATTGTTATTTTAAGTTCTGATGTTTCTGGACTGTGTCCTTGAGAACAGTAGGTGACTGAGTAGATTATGTACCTACTTAATCCATTTCCTGTTTTGTTAGCTCTTTTGGGTCACTGGTAGCTTTTCAATATGTAGCCAGAGTAATTGAGGAGGAGATGTTTGGCGTTGACAATTTGTGCTGGATCTCTGCAAAAGCTACGTTAGGAGCATCAAGACTTGCAGAATTTTTGATTCTGCAGACTGGAATGACAGCATTTGGGAACGCTTACTACAGAAAGAAAAATGATCTTGTGCCAAATGTGAGTTTGGGATGGGAACTTAGCACCAAAATCTCATATCTAGGTCTTAGCTGTTGGTTAGATTAGTTTTGTACCAAGTCATTTGAGCATCTTTTGCAGCTTGCTACCAAACTTGAAGCACTCAGAGATGAGTACATGCGTTTTGCTGTGGAAAAATGTTCCTCTATACTAAGAGAATACCATTCTGCTGTAGAGGCAATCACAGGTTTGCCTTTTTGCTCAATAACTACATAAAAACATCTCATTAAAATGTCAAAAAATGAGTAGGAATACAAGCAATTAAACTAGGTTTGTTCAATCCACACATCTCATTTGCCTGTCGAACTGTGGAAGTTGGAAGTTAAAGTAGCAACCTTTAAATTTAGAAGTGATGGGTTGATGGCCACATAAGTCCACCTGATAGTAGCATATCATTGTTTTCTGTGGCTTACTACTGTCTTGCTGCATGCTTTTATGCTGTGCAGATATTCTGCTTGAGAAGGGAGAGATTAAAGCTGATGAAATTTGGAACATATATAGAAGTGCTCCTCGAATACCCCAGGTATTGTGTGAGTTTAGCGCCACTTTAAATTTTCTTGTTGATGGTTGTCTTGTATCATTACATCATATAAGTCATCCAAGGATCAAACTTTTGTTTTGGTGACATGGGAAACTTATCGGAAATGTTGACCTGTTTCTAAAACAGAATGTCAATGAATAAAAAGTTTGAGAATTATTTCTCCAAAAAATTGATCTAAATATATTAAAGCATCTTGAAACATTCCGAAACTCAAGGATTAAAATTTTGTTTCGAAACAGTCGAAGCGTTTCCATTTCTAAGGAGATCGAAACGAATCAGTGATAGAATTGAAATTTTAATATTTCGAGATATTTCATAATGTTTCGAGGTGTTTTGGAATGTTTTGACGCATTTTCAGAATGTTTCAAGTTATTTCAAGATATTTTGACCAATATTTTAAAAAAAATAAATCTCAAATTTTTTATTCGTTTTTATTTTATTTTGAAAACAGGTCAAAACATTTTTATAATGAGTAAAAAATTTTTGTTTCTTAGATGACCAAATCCTTGCTGAAACAATTGTATAAATATATCAAAACATTACGAAAACATCTCAAAACATTATAAACACTTCGAACTAATAGAATTTCGATTCTATCACTAATTCTTTTCGGTTTCCATTCTGTCTCCTTGAAAACGGAAATGTTTCGGTTGTTTCGAAACAAAATTTTAATTATTGAAGTCATCAGATGTTGTGTGAAATTCTGTTCAAGTCTCGTTAAATAATTTCATTCTCTCCTTGTTATAGGAGATGATATGGATATTGAATGTTATGGATAAATTGATGATAAATATTTTTGCACTTTGTTTTGTTTGGCTGAGGATGTAGAGGGTTTTGGACTCCCATTCGTATGTTTCTTTCAGTGTTGTTCTCTGTTCGGTGATTAATTTTGCCATACTTCAAATGATTAACTAGTTCATACTTGATTTAATTATAAATCCATATATCTGCTTCAGCTTTGCTACCTGTTCTACGCCAAAGAAAATGAAATAAAAAGGGGAATTGGGAAAATCACAATTCAGAAGAAACAATATTCTCCGCTTGCATCATGCTGTTTGATGTATTTAGGCAAGGCTAACTGATATTCCTCTGAGCAGGTTACCCAGGCAAAATTTGGAGATACTGAATCACTCATTCTCTCAATAGCCACATAGATGATTCTTGGAATGTCAGAGTGTGATAGCATGACGTGCACTGATGCTCTACAGACATTTAACTTAAAGAGTATAAAATGATAAATTCAGAAATTACAAACAAAATGGATTTTTGCAACATTTATTAAATTTAGGTTAGTCTAAAAGATTAATAAAAACAACCACTACCGTCATAATGTATTTAATGATATATGGAGAAATAGATATTTAATAGAAGCCAGAAATTTGTATATGGTGCAACCTACGTCTATAATTGACTACTACCATTCATTAGTGATATTATTTGGCAAAATGAATCTAATCAGAGTAAGAATATTCAAAAAAATCAATGTGTTTATTTTTTCCAGATTTTTGGAATTGTTTTATATGGAAATATGGGACCTTTGGATGGTCCAACATATCTTAGATCTAAATACTAACAAAATGAAAAAAAATTGAAATTTAAAATTTTAAATAGGGAAATGCATAAATTTTCTGAGATAAACAGAAACAAAAGAAAAAATTCAAAAAAATGATGATCGATTGCATTAGATTTGGAGTAAGATTACATGCTTGAACAATATAACACAAGTGCATGTTTATGAAGGATGCAAAGACTCAACCTTGAGAGATCCTTCTAACACCCTTTAGATTTTGTGACGAAATCTTCATAAGACATTGGAAGTGCAAGCTTAATGTTTTCTGCTGTTAAAAGCAGTGGCATGACATTTAAAATTGTGATTCATGAGCCATCGCATGAAGCCGCAATGTTACTCTTAGCTATCTCATGATGCCACACTATTAGTCCTAGCCATCTCATGAGACGTGGCTCATACAGCCAATTTGATTTGTGGGCCAAATATATTGTGCAATTCAGTTTTTATTACGTTGTTGGGCGGGTGCCCTGCCATCTCAGTTGACAAGTTCCTACAACAGTTGTGATTGTGAAGTTGTTTCTAGCTGATCAACTTTAGTAATGCAAAATGTAGAAGAAAAGAAAAGAGGTTCTCTCTCTCTCTCTCTCTCTCTCTCTCGTGTTAAGACAACAGGTTTTCAGTGCTCAAGACAAGTCGTCATGCACTAAAGAAGACTCAATAGAACTGCTTACAATTGAAAACAGTCCAGTGATGCTCTATCAACTATTGTACTTACGACCTCTTTTTTCATCAACCATGGTGTTGATCAGATGGCCCTTGTTTCTGTCAGAATGAAAACCCCACCTTTGATGTGGCAGAGGAGCTCCTGGTTAGGAAAACACCTTTCTTCTTTCACTTCCCTGGGTAATGCTAGTCCATGCCAGCGCTGGGATCTCCATGAGGCTCAACTACATGGCAAGGGCGGGTTGGGAGGTCCGGAAACCATTGGGTTGTCAGTGCCTAAAAAAAGCAGCTTCCAACCCGTTGAAGCACGTTGTGTAGCACCACCCCTCGGCCTCTTTCTACAGTCCATTACATCTTCTCTCTTGTATATTAGGGTTGCAAAATTTATTTCTTTGAGCAACTAGTGCTATTGCATAATTTATTTCATAAAGGCTATTTTATACTTGCCATTCAGCACTCTTCTACACGAACAATCTTTTACAAAGGAGATTAACTGCCTTTAAAGTTTTTGGGCGTAATTACACACGGCTTCACAATTTCTGCTTCACCTTTGGTTTATGAAAGCTTTCTGGGACATAAATTGTGCAATAGCACTTGTTTCTGAAAACCATGTTTGCATGAAGATCATAATTAAAGTGGGGAAAATCATATCAGTGTGGTACAGGAAAAATGCCACCGAGTGGAACTGAAAAGGATATAACCTCATGGATCTAGTAAAAGTGCGACATTGATCCTCAAGACTTTTATTCCGACTAACTTGAACTTATGTACTACATTCAACATAATAGATCATGATTTTAAAGCTAGTCCAAGTTTGGGTTCTAATTGCTTCATTCAGTATTGGAATGGGGGACAAATCTGATAATATCTGTTTCATATACCGCAATATATATTTGGTTGCTTAAAAACTCGTAATCCTTTATTCTGATGCTCGTTATTCAGCCTGCTGTGAGTCCAGTTGATGAATACGGAGCCCTGATATATGCTGGACGATGGGGAATCCATGGTGTTTCACTACCAGGGAGGGTGACTTTTGCACCTGGAAATGTGGGGTTTTCAACTTTTGGTGCACCCCGTCCCATGGAGGTTAGTACAGAATTTACACCTTACTCTTATGTTGCTGTATTTTATTTCACTGACGACTAATGCTGCAGTTGATCATGTCCATATGCAGACCCAAATCATCAGTGATGAGACTTGGAAGCTAATAGATGGAATTTGGGATAAAAGGGTTCAGGAAATCAAATCTGAAGCCTCAATGGAGATTGAAGAAGATAAGGAGAGGCCACAGCTTTTGATGGGCAGTCATTTCTTATGATATTCAGCATATGTTTTCTGGTCAGTATTCATACAATTTGTTGTCATCCAAAAGATACTTCTTCCTGCTAAGAAATGTTTCAGTATGAGGTGACACCTTGCATGGTTACCATAGTTGCCTCAGTTAACCTAGCTTAGAATAAACAGGCATTTATCCACCTAAACGCTGCATGATAACTAGAATAATTTATAATGGTGACAGAGCCTTGATCAGGACTTGATTGGACCCGGGCTGCAGCTCGGTCATATGAGGATTTCACTTGGCCACAATACCTTTAGGTGCAAACAGAGATAACATCTTATGGTTATGTATTATCTGGCCAATACGCAAGCTTAGAAAAAGATTTTTGTTTTCTGAAATAATCTCTTTATGTTTGAAGTTTCTCGGCTGAGTCGTACTACTTCTATGACATGCAGGCTGTTGTCTTCTATGGGCTAAGTGTAATACACGAGGAACTATAATATGAATGATTCTTTCAAAATTGGAGTGCATTCTTGTCAGTTTGAGTTGCACGTAGTTCTTATTTCCTCGGGCATTTTTGGATCTTCACCATGCTAGAGTTGTTTCACCTGTGGATAAGCAAAGGAATTTTGGCGAGTCTCCGGTTCTCTGGCATCTTGGCTGAGTGGATTTAAGTATCCCATTCTGATGAAGAGATCCAACCCATTCGATTATATTGATACAGGAAATCATCGAGATCAAACTTATACGAAAGGTGACATCTAGTGAATGTGCAGATTTTTTAGGATTTTTGTAGAAAGAGTCTAAATTTTCAGCTTCTAACACAGAGCAAGAAGTGGAAGGCGGTCATGGATTGAATGGATGACTTTTATTGTCTTTTTGGTCAGTTGTAGTCGAGGCTTCAACTGTTTATGTCACAGAAAATGTAAAAATGGAGATTGACCTACTTGTAAATTAGTCATATGTATGTTCCAAACCTACACCTCTCCTCCGCAAAATAAACATTTTAAGAAGTCTCTGTCAAATTCATCTTAAAATGAGCCTATTCTAAAGCATAGCCTTGAGCCCAGTCCTTGACCCTGGGGGCCCGTTTGCTTCGTGTCAGATGGGTGGATTAACCAGTGGAATTGGAGAAATTTTTTAGTCCCAACCTAAGTGAAAATTACAAGCATGTATGGTTGAGTTATTTTTCTTGTCAGCAAGTGCAATCATGTACTTTTTAAGGTTTTAAGTTCATTTAAGTACAATATATGAGGTGTATGGTCTGAAGTAGCTATTTTTAAATTTTTAAAATTTTTAAGGAAGGGAATACGTGTATCTTAACATATTTATAAATCAACTCAATCTATCTCTGACGTCAATCACTCTCTGTTCTCTTTGTACTCTCTCTTCTAACCTTTTATCTCTTACCTCTTTCTTCAATTATTTTCGCTCTCATCTGTCTTTCATCCCACTATTTCTCTCTCCACCGTTTATATATTATGCACGATGGAAAAACGTATGAAGATAAAGATGACTATAGAACTACAATTGCAGCAATCATAGTGATAGTCAAAACAATATAGCAGTAAGATATGTGTATAGAGGAGCTAAGACTGACCTAACTGGGATCCACCAAGATGTATTCAAGGCCTTTAATGAACACATGCAAGGTACAAGTCAGGAAGGGATTGGTTCCACAAAGCAATTAGCAAGGGCACATGCTCAATGTGGATGGTTGACACCATAAGAAAGAACACTTAAAATCAACGTGGATGCAGGCATCACAAAAGAGGAGGCGTACATTTTAGCTATAGACAGAAGTAAACAAGAATTAGTTGTGGAGGCAATGGTAAAATTAGTTAAGGATAAAGATCCATTAATTGCGGAAGCTTTAGCAATTAGAGAAGCAGCACTATGGACGCAAATCAAGGGGTGAAACTATGTAAATATGGAAGGAGATTCATAGACAGTGATCTTTGCAGCAACACTTCCTCATTATAGAATTTCTTGGACTATTGAAATAATGATCAAGGACATAAAATACTTGCTGAATAAACAATCCAGATGGAGTTTGTCGCACGTTTACAAGGAAACAAATGGAGCTGCACACGCTCTTGCAAAATAGGGATTAGCCACCAAGCGGGAAGGTCCAATTCTGCCCCCAAAACTTCCACACGCAGTAGCCAAGATAGTGCTTCAAGAAAGAGGGAATGTGAAGCAAGAAAGGGCTGACTTATTTCCTCTTAAAATTATAGAATAATCAGCTACTAGGAGTTTTCTTACTTTCATCTCTTCCATATCCATGTATCTCATTTACAACCAACAAAAAAAAAAAAAAAAAAACTTTCCGCTTTAAATTTCCTCCCAACTATGGGCGGAGCTATACAAAGGCAAGGGTGGGCGCGGGCCCACCCTCAATTTTTTTTAAAAAATATGATATGTATTTGTGTGTGTGTGTCTCTATATATATATATATAATTCTAAAAATTATGCTCATATTTTTTATTTGTGTTTACCCTATAATTTTCTTATTTCAATTATTTAGTTTTTTTTATTATATTAAGACTTTCTTCAAATGACCTTTATTTTATTATTTATGATTTTTTGCAAGTGAAATTTTTTTCAATTGCTCTACATTTGACTTTGTTTTTCCTATGAAAAATTATTTTTTATTTTTATTTGAATATTGATTATAGTTTTTATTATGTGCCAGTCGATTTTCATTTTTTTTTATTATGTTTGCTCTTCAATTTTAGTTTAATTGTTTTACTATGCTAATATTTTAATGATAATGTTTAAAGCATCATTTATTGAATACATTTAATGGATTGTTAGTGAATAACTAACATTTTTTAATTATAAAAATGACAATTAGCAATGTTGATAATTAGTCAATTTTTTATACATATACAATATACATTATATTAGCTTCACTTTTTTATAATGGTGATAATTAGTCAATCTTTTAATTTTGCAGTTATCATTTTAAAATAAAAATGTGATCTAAAAAATCCTTTCAAATAGGAATGAAAATATCCTAAAATTTAGTGTAGTATTAAAATTGACTTTGACGATTGTGCATTTTTTCAAGTTAAGCATGTGTCATTAAAGATAAATTAATTTTTATAACTTCAATTATCCTTTATGACCTTAAACGTTTGGACTTTTTGGATCACACCGAAATGGTGTGGTAGGCCCCATCTATTATGGCCCGACTTGAACAGTACAATTAAGACCATAAAATTTGTCGAGCACAGCTGGTCAGGTTTTTCGTTGCAGTAAACAACTATAAATAGACATGTCAATCGTTAAATTTTGAATGATTTAAATCCAAGTTCGATTTGAAAACTTCATTTTGAATATGATCTGATCATCCATCAGATTCCGTCTTTGCAATCCATATCCATTAAATATTAAAAATTTGATAAAAAACTAAATTTTATATATACACGTATGTGCATGTGTAATTATGTCAAATTTTGGTATAGCTAAATCTAAATTTCTAAAATATAATAGTATATTTAAACTTGGATAATTAATTAAACATATCAATCTATATCTAGATAATCGAATTTAGAGAAGGATGAGTTTGGTAACTTAATGTGTTATTGTAGAAAGAAGAGAAAAAACTAGAGAGTAAATAAAGAATAGTGAAATTTAGTGTCATGAACTTTAAAAAAAATTTAGTGGGGACAAATATTGAAAATTTTTAATTTTTTTGTATTTTTAAAGTAGCCCCAAAAATTTTAAAAATCTCAGTGGGGGCAATTGCCCCCATTGCCCCCACCCTACCTCCGCCCCTGCTCTCACACCACAACATACACCTCACACCTTGCCCCCTCTATGTTGCCGCTCACTTATCTCTCACGCCACAGATTCACACACACTCGCAGCGGAAAACACACACACACACATATCGCACACATACACCATCATCACACACAAGGACACATACCAACTCACACACACACACACACACAAACAAACCCAACACATAGAAACGCACACACCCAACATTGACCTAGCACACACACATCCACATCCACTCACCCACACACACAGAGCAGAAACAAACACCCACACCCACTCACACACACACAACACAAACAAACCCACACACCACCCATTGTGTACACACACAAAACACAATATACACAACTTGAAATTTATTGATTTGGACACCAAGTGTTTGTTGGAATGCTTGAGAAATATTTTACATTCCACAAATGTTTTTTTTTTGATTAGTATGAATTTACTATTGATGATACCAAAAAATATAAAGGAGACAACAAGCAATAAATAAATTACAAGAAGGGGCAGAAAAGGGTTTTCACTATCAAACCATACCTTAAGCAATAAGTCACACCAAATATTCTCTGAATATTTCCTAAATATTCCCCTTATATTTTGTTATAAAAGATAATAATCACTATGTAAAAAGGGGGTAAAAAAAAGCAAGAAAAAAAAATCCTATTGTACTCTTCTGCTTCAAGAAAGTAATATACAATCAAGGAGCAAGAACCTCCATTACAGTGGATTAATCAAGCTTTTCAGTTGGTGAACCACTTATTTTCTTGTGTATTCTCATTCATTTTTACACACACGACACATCCACCAGGAGCTCATCCAACTCTCCACCTCATGCCTCTTGATTTTTTACCACCATCAACTATATACCTTTTTTTTCCGCGTATAATGTATTGAAATTATGTTTCTCTTTGATGGGATTTGTTTTGTTGGCTTCTCTTCCTTGGATTTTAATTGATTCTTTCACTTGTTTGATTTGGGTTTGTCATTGATCATATAGTTTTGTTTCCTACTTAAGTTGACATTGTAATACGATTCGATTTGACTACAACTAGGGTCATTTTGATCACTGTAATGTTGCTATTTCTTTTGACCAATTTGTTTGATTATGTGAGGTGATTAGTTATTTTGGGCCATAATTTTTTGGTATGTGATGAGGTCAAGAGTAATGCCGGTCGAGAAATTGAGCAAATTTGGTCTTTAATTTTTGTTTTGGAAAGTCTTAGCAAACTGTTGGTTGGATATTATGATATGAATGTATGCTAAATTTTTGGTGAATTAGAATAGATTTCATGAAAACTTCATTTGATTCCGATAATAATCCGATTTGATTTGACTACAATTAGATCCATTTTGTGCATTGTAATTTTTAATATATAATTTTTTATTTTGGTTGAGTTGCTTGATAATGTGAGGTAGTTGGCGAGTTTGGACCACAATTTGTTGGTAAATAATGATGTTAAGAGCTATGTGGTTGAGAAATCGAGCAATTTTTATCTTAATTTCTGTTTTTGTCAAGTCATAAAAAGACGTATATGTACATGTTTATGTTATGTATGAGATGAGGCTGAGGGTAATGCAGGTTGAGAAATCGAGCAAATTTGGTCTTTAATTTTTTTTGGCAAGTCTTAAAAAATTGTTGGTTGGATGTTATGATGTGAATGTACACTAACTTTTTGGTGAATTAGATTAGATTTCATGAAACTTCATTTGATTCTGATCGTAATCCGGTTTGATTTGACTGCATTTAGGTCTATTTTGTACATTGTAATTTTTGTTGTTTTTTATTTTGGTTGAGTTGTTTGATGATGTGAGGTGATTGGCGAGTCTGGACCACAATTTGTTAGTAAATAATGTTGTCAAGATGGTTGAGAAATCGAGCAATTTTTATCTTAATTTCTGTTTTGGGTAAATCATAAAAAGACATGTATGTACATGTTTACGTTAGGTATGAGAATGTATGCTAGATTTTTTTGTGTGCGCGCATGTGTATGGATGCATTTTTTTTACAATCGAATGAGGTTCACTTCGTGTGTGTGCGTGCAACATTTCCATTGTTAGCAGAGAATCTTATGTTGGAGAGCGGTGAAAATAAAGAGGTATCTTAAATTTATGATTCCAATGCATTGACTTGACATTCTTTGATTAAATAATTTCTTCCAATTAAGGGTTATTCACCTTTTTCATTTTTCTGTTTAGTGGATCTCTCTTTTTATTTTTTCACATCCTTT